TTAATTTAATAGTATTAATATGTAATTACAAGTGTAAGTTTTTTTTATTATTAAATATTTTAAAAATATATTAAATATATTAAATATTTATTTTAATTAATATTTGTAACATAATAAAAAAAATAAAATTAAAAAACTAAAAGACCAAAAATCGTTCTCAAACACAAGCAAAGTCGTCATTTTCACTGCAAAGATGAAGGAGCCAAAACAGTAAGTGTAGATATACACCCCAGCCATGGTGCTAAACGACAGACACGGGCTAAAAAGTAGAACCAGCAGTGGGGCCCAACTCCAGAAACTTAGGAATCGTGTGGAAGGAAAAGCACACTTGGTGGGTCCATCTGCACCGCATCAATTTTGTGGCTCGGATTCTCAAAGAGCTGTGCCACGTCACGGGCGGAAGCAACGCCGTTTGAGATTGAGGATAAAATCAGACTGAGATGGCAACTATGACACATGGCTCTGTCGACTTGGGAATTTTCTTTATTTGACTAGGACTTTTTTTTATTTTTTTAAATTTTAATTGTATAATAAGAGATAATTATTTTTTATTTTTGATCTCATTTCACTCGCATGTTATACAACTTAAACTCAAGATTTTTTATTTTCAACGAAAAAATAATCACTAAATTATTTAAATTATTAATATTTGACTAAGATTAATATCAATAGGAATCACCCTGTGTTTTTTTCTTTCCCCTTCTACTACTTTCCATTTGAAATGGTTGATTCCAAAATTTTCTAATCTCAGCACAAATAACTTGGTGTTTGATCAAATGAAATCATGAATTTAGTTTATTATGTACAAATATGGATACCACTTGATCACTAAAAAGTATTTTAAAATCTTAAAGTAAGTGATTACTAATATTTAAATTTGGGTTTATCATAATAGTGATTAAATTCAATTTGTGTGGAGGACCCACCTATGTGGGCATAAAAGAGAAACTGGTTGGGGCGGGCATAAGAGAGAAATTGGTTAGGACGAACGTTGCAGATTTCTCTAGCATACACCCTTATATGCTCAAGTCAGTCGGAATTTTGGCACATCAAGGTTGAGAGAGAAAAGAGGAAGAAGAGAAAGAGAGCTTAAATTTGAATTACCTTAGAGGCTGTGTAAAAGTCTCTTTTTAAGTATTTAAGTGGTATGTTTAGCAAAGATAGAAACCTATTCAGTTTGTACAAGTAGTGGAGTCTAAAAGTAAACTAGTACAAGAACATGTATGATAACCAATAAAAAGTGCCATGTAGCAGACAGATGAGGTCCATGTGCAGTGGAATAATGGCCTTTTGCAAGGTCGATACGAATGCAGGTGTCTCACCTATGTGTGGATTGATCTGATCATATTTTTAGTTTAATAGTTTGTTTCTAAATTTTAATATTTTAATTTAATTAATCAAAATTTTAACTTTTACCGACAACTTAAAAAATTCTTCATTCCCCTATTATTCCCCTCATCCCTCGTTATTCCCCATGTTCAAAAAAGAAAGAAAAAGGAAGTGTGGATTGATTCCGACCTCAGGTGGGCCTTGCTTGTCGTTTATTCTTCTTATCTTGGTCACTAAGTCTTAGTAATATGTGTATTTAAGTACAACGGTCAACAGTCAATAGTCAACATCACTTAAGTTTAGCTTAGCTCAGCTAGTCTTGTCTTAGATACACTTAGCCAAGGTGCCCCGAGCTACACTCAAGTCTGTTGGATTTGTTGATTTGTTTTGGTATATGCTGAAGAAAACATGTACATACAGCCGAGTGAATGCATAACTTAAAAGTTGCACCTTCAATTTGCCAGAAGAAAGTTTCAAAACATTGAAAGCTTTGTAGAAGTTGGTACCTGGTAAGTCTTACTTAAATGCTTTTGTTTTAACATCATAAATTAGTCCAACATTAGTATATTGCAATAGTGTCTACTTTTGACGTATTACTAGAAAGCTTTGTAGAAGTTGGTACCTGGTAAGTCTTACTTAAATGCTTTTGTTTTAACATCATAAATTAGTCCAACATTAGTATATTGCAATAGTGTCTACTTTTGACGTATTACTAGAAATAGGGTCTTATTCAGTCAAGTAATTTGACTGAATAATTTGATCGGATGAGAAGTAATTCGGTTAAATTACTTGATCGAATTATTAATTAAAATATTCACTTATGATATAATAATTCAAATAAAATTTCATTTAGACCAAAAATGTTAGACAATTTCAGTCATAAAATTTGACTAAAAATATTATTAGGAAATTTTTTATTTTAGACTATTTCGGTCAAAATATTTGATTAAAAATGTTATTAAAAAATATTTTATTTTAGACTATATTGGTCATAAAAATATTTAAATTTAAGCTAAATGATGGAGAGTTAATTACTAACTTTTTTTTTTTTAGTATCTCCATCCCTTAACACCAAGAAATAGTTAATCACATATTACAAACTAAATGGGAAACTTAATGAAAAAAAAATTATAAAATTTAATGAAAGAGAGGATGAGAGGAATGAATGAAAGAAAAGGGAAAATGAAGAAAAGAGAAGATGAGAAAAAGGAAGAAATGAAAGAAAATGATGGAAGTAAAGAGAAATAAGGAGGGGAAGTAATTAAAAGGAAGAGAAAGATGAGAAATATAAGTGTGGAAGGCGGAATGAATGGAAAAGCAGAAAGAAGGAAAAAGGAAATGTGTAAAATACAATTTAAAGTGCCTAAAGTGTTTGTATAGGGTTTAGACTATTTTGGTCAAAAGTTTTGACTGAAATAGTTTTGGCGAACAATTCAAAATGTTTCACTTGATTTGTGGAGCTAAAACATTAATTTCAAATAAGAATTCTGATTGAAATAATTTTGGCGAAAAATTTAAGAAATTTCACTTAATTCTTGGAGTTAAAACAATATAATTTTGGACAAACATCTTGACCGAAATAGTTTCTTAGAGAATTAAAAAAAAATTTAAGAAAGAAAGCGTCATAGTAATGTAATTAAAAAAAAGGAGACAATTATTTCGATGAATATGCTTGACCGAAATAATTTTATAGAAAATTTAAAAAAAAAAAGAAAAAAGAAAGAGAGTGCTATACTAATACAATTTAAAAAAAAAAAAGAGTTATTTCAGTTAAGATGCTTGACCAAAATAATTTCATAGCAAATTAAAAAAATTTAAGAAAGAAAGTGCCATAGTAATATAATTAAAAAAAGGAGACAATGATTTCGGTCAAGATGCTTGACCGAAATAATTTTATAGAAAATTAAAAAAAAAAATTAAGAAAGAGAGTGTTATACTAATACAATTAAAAAAAAAGAGTTATTTTTCATAGAAAAGTAAAAAAATTTAGGAAAGAAAGTGCCATAGTAATATAATTAAAAAAAAGAGACAATGATTTCGGTCAAGATGCTTGACCGAAATAATTTTATAGAAAATTAAAAAAAAAATTAAGAAAGAGAGTACTATACTAATACAATTAAAAAAA